ACCTATTGTTTGGTCAATGAATCAATTAAAGCAGATTTGAAATTTGATGGGATTGCATTCTTTACATGGAGCAATCAGTTTATAAATTAATTCCAAAATCTTTGTATGAATGATAAAACATGTATGATAGTGGGGGAAAGGATGTATGAGTTATGTTTTCAATAACACATGCTAACTTAATAATTTAAAACAAATGTAGGTTGTTTAATTTGTGTTATTCCTACATATAAGACATTGGGAGAATGCAATTGAAGTGATGGATGTCATAGATGTACAATTATATAGTGCTTTCACATGGTGGGGGTAGAGATATTTCAAAGAGCTTCACACAACTGACCGTGAGCCCGAGCTGGGTAGGGAGCTGTGGGAGGGTGGTTGAAAGTGCAATTGAAGAGATGGGTCATAAGGCGGAAGATTAAGAGGAGATTGAGAAGAGGGGCATGGTGGAGTTCCAGACAACAATAGCAGAATGACTAAAGGCTGAATGTAACTGGGGAGGTAGATTTGGGGGAGTAGAATTGCAGATAGGATGGGATGAGGCTATTGAAAGTGAGAATGAGAATCTTGAATTTGAGTGATGATCAATATAATCCAATTACCAGAATCCTGAGGAATCTCAAGAACACCAATACTTGGGTAAAGAAACTAATCCTTCACTTTAAATTTGCTTTCTGGATGGCGTAAGCCAAAAGAAGTGGTTGAAATTTTTTTTGTTGAAATATCATAAAAGTTGTACTCGTCTGAAAAAGAATTCCAATGAATGGCTGGATCAAGTTACTGTCCATTCAGTAACTTGCAGTTGTAAAGTGCCTTTCACGTAAGATAATGACTGAAGACACTTAGTGAGGATGATGTGAGCACAATGAAAAGAAGAGAGTAGGGGGAAAGATGACTGACAGCATGTTTGAAAGGTTTTTGGAAGGGATTTTTGAACACTGGGAGAGATTGTGCAAGGTGAGAGATTTTAGAAAGGATCGTGGAGAGTACAGGGGTCATTGTGGCTGAAAACTATTGATGGGTGGGATGACAAGGGCCCTAAGTTGGTGTAGCAGATGGAGTGGTAGTAGATTCAGGAAGAGAATAACTAGAACGTGATATAATAGAGATTGTTATATTCTGATATAGATTATGATGATATTATTCCCTCTTTCAAGTCCCGCCTGAAAACTTTCCTCTTCAAAGGTACTTATGACCACTTCCCCCCGGCTCGGAGTCAGGCTCCGCCACTTTTAAGCGCTCTGAGAAGCTACCCTGCTATAAATGAAAGTTCTTGTTGTGGTTGTTGTTGTACTATGATTATAGAAATCATTATCATGATCACAAGTTGCTGAAAAAAAGGATGAAGCCAAAATGAAAGTTCATTAATGTGGCACAGTGGTATGAACAATATTGGTTTCCTCGAAACACACAAATCACTGATCAACTTTATATAATTAAAAAAGCAACTGAAAGAGTCATAATTCTTCTTCCATCCCATAGTAATATTGTATCTAACTTTAGTGTTGCTTCTGCCTCCTTACTGTAAGTTGTGCAATATGGTATTTAATAATGCAGCGCAAATGGGTATCTGTGTAAGAATGGATATAGTGAAAAAGGTTGTGTTTGTGATGCTGGATAATGAAAATTACCAATCATGTTGATTGCGACGCTAGGTAATGAAAATTAACCAAACTTGTCACAGATGGAATAAACTGGATGTTCCAATATTCTTCAATTGTGTATTCTGATAGTTGGAATAATGTTTAACGGTTCGAATTGGATTTTAATACACAGTTTCATATTTTCTATTTTACCAATGCTGAACTTGGATAGGCTTGCATTTGTAAGGTTGATTGCCTCCCTGAGTATAAATTTCATAAATGTTGAGCCGCTGAGAATCTTTAGCTCTTGTATGTTGTGGTGCAAAAACAAAAGATTAAATGCTGGCAAATTTATTGGTCGTCATGTTCTGAAAATCATTCTTGTTAGTCAGACAGGTGTCTTAGACATGTGGAAACTCACCACTACTCCTAAGAGTATCCACTTATGCACTTATGCATGGAACATTACTGTTTGTAATGGAATGTGTACTTTCTCCCTGAAGGGCCACACCCTGCTTCTCTAATTCTAGAGAGTAATTGGCATAAGTTGGCAAAGGTTTGGAGACCTCAGAGTGTGTGTTAGAGTACAGCTAAAGCTGCATACCTTGCCATTGAGAGTGCAGTCTGGCAAGCTAACTGCTGCTTTGGGTTTCTGGGTTAACGGAAGCCAAGAGGGAAGAATCCCTGTTGCTCCTAGTTTTTTCACAAAAAGAAATGCAGCTTTTGTTGCTTGAATTTAGCTGAGTAACACTATCATAAAGTAGCTCAGGATAGCTAATGTAAACCAACAATCGAAGCATTCAACTTGTGATATTGCACCTTTTATTTTGTATCTCATTCACTTTATCTCAAAATACATTGTCTGAACCAGGTTAATTCCAATCCTGTAAGGATGATAGTACCTCATCAAACATTTTCACTGTCTGTTGAATGATACACTAGGGTTCCTTATCCTTGCAACACTTTTGGTAATGAAAATTTAATTGAAACTGATATGACTATGCTGTAGCAAAAAGCCTTTAAACCTTTTCACCTTCAGTAAAAATGCTATGATGAAAAGATTTATATACTGGAGAGTGAATGTGAAATTACCCTTCAATGTTTGTTTCATTCAGATAAGAGCACTCTGCGCACAAGAATATGGAGATCTTTTGTAGCAAGTTGAAGAATATAATTTTATAATTAAGGGAAAAATCTATGTATCTATGCATTGTCTGTCCAATGCTAGATTCAGCAATAGATGGTACTGTATTTGTGTTCGATTTGATAACCGTCAGAACTCTAAATAAAAGAGGTATTCTAATTTTTTTAAGGTACAGTTGAATTCTGAGCTGAACAGAAGCAACACAACACTGGTACAAGGCTGACAGATGAGCCTTTTGTATATAATTGAATGGGAAGATTTCTATTGTACTCTCTCTATATATATAGAATTGCAGCTTGGATATCTCCCAACCTTCCAGAACATGCATTTATGTGTTTAGAGACAATTAATTTTGATATTAAACATCCTGTAAACCATTTCTGGTTAATTTGTTTTTTAAAATCAAAACATGTTTATTGCTTCTAGGCACACCGTAATATAGTATGTGTTGTACTTCTTGACACATGATTAAAAAAAAGCTACTGCTGTCTGCTTCTGGTCTCCAGCAGCCAAGTTAGCAAGCCAATATCCGGAATGGTAAAACAACCAGCAATTCTGGGTTAAAAATAATAATAATAATATAATAATCCTTGCATTTGATATAGCGCTTTTCGCGTCTTCTCAACGTCTCAAAGCGCTTCACAGAATAGACTGTAAAGTGAATTGACCGTATATTTGTGTGCGAAACGCAGCAGCCAATTACGCACAGCAATGTCCCACAAACAATCGTCGATTGAAAATGACCAATTTACTATTGTTTTGTTTTGGGGGGATTATTATTAGGCGTGTGGAGTAAGGAAACTTGCCCAAGGTTTCGCCCTGCCTGGAATTGAACCCAGGTGTCTCATTTGCAAAGCAAGTGCTCTAACCACTGAGCTATAGGACTCCACAAAATGAAAAGGGTGACTGACTGGCTTTATAAATTTCATCCCAAAATGTTTTACTTCTGTCTTTGGTGCAATGATGTTTTTAGGGCTCTTAAAACACATATTCTCTTTATTTGAGGAATGAACCGATATGGTGAGGTGCTTGTATACAATGGGAGTTATGGTGTAACATTTTAAAATTTGCACTGAATACTGCAAATTGATTTTTCACGCTGTGCATTGTACATTGAATAACTTGTACAAACCAAAATATGAATGCATTCTGCTTTCTACGTGATCTTTTTATGGAAGGCAAAGGCTTCTGCACCATAATGCGATAAATTTCAAATTCCAGATTGTATTAATTTTGTACTATTTTATTTATAATTTGGCTATATTCTATGTGCTAGAAAATCCTGATTTTTACAATTATATATAAGGGATGCATTTAAGGGATGCATCTACTATATTCTCCCCTTCAATTATAAAATATTTGCCAGATGTTACAACAGCTAATTTTTCATATTGCTTTAAATTGATGCAGTTATACCAGAACTGCACTGGGTTGATGATGTGGTCCACAAAAATCCTGTCAGCATTACATGAGCATAGTCAAAATTAGTAAATTCTTAGCTCACTCCATACTCTTCAAATACTAATTTATAAAGAAACTAACCAAGTGAATTTATTTTAACTACAGTGTTTTTAAGGAATTAAAACTCATATTGGCATTAAAATGAACTGTTCATTGGTGTTTGTGAAATGTTTGAAATCTATTGAAAACAAAAACTCTAGCTGCATTAAATCTATTTTGCGGTCTCTGAAGAGACTGGCCAGGTTGTATAAAAATCACACAAAAGCATATGAAATGTAACTCTTCTTCCTTGTCAGTTCTTGGGAATGGATTGGGAAGTAGGTTGTACTCCAGAAGAACATTTATTTTTCCAAAGCAATGTATGCGTCTCAAAGCAAAATTCATTGGATTGGAATCACATATGGTTTTAGCTAATTTTAGCTTGAATGCAGCTGCTTTTATATTTCCAAGAATTCAAAAAATGCTTAAGATTTGCCCCTGATGGGAATTGCTTTTTTTTTCCTCTCCCCATCCCCACTTCTCAGAAATATGTTCTCATTAAACACAGCAGTTCTCTGGAGCCATGTAGAAAGTATATCCTGCCCAAAGGGAGAATGCAGTCCAACATTCTACACCTGGTCAATTACTAATACCTTATGCAGACCCTTGTAGATGAAAACATAAAGTTCATCACATCCACTTTTTGAATCTGAACTTATAACATCCAGTATAAGGAAGTGCAAACCCATGTAGCCTGCAGGCTGTGTTATAAATTTTTAAACTTTAATGTGTGGAACTACAATATTTGACAACATTTTCCCCTATCTTGTCTACAGAGTTTTCCATCAGATGAAGGATGGCCCTTTGCAAAGTATCTTGGAGCTTGTGGGAGAATGGTGGCTGTAAATTATGTAGGCAATGAACTTTGGAATTACTACAACTCACCTTGGGAAAAGCGAATGGACCTAGCCTGGCAGTTACTGGAAATCGCTGAACAGCTAACCAACAACGATTTTGAATTTGCCCTCTACCTCCTGGACGTCAGCTTTGACAACTTTGCAGTGGGACCTCGGGACGGAAGAGTCATCATCATTGACGCTGAAAACATCATTGTGGCAGACAAGAGGTTAATCAAACAAAGTAAGTGATTTGTTTATAAATTTTTCAATTTCCACCTTAAAAAGAATTCAGAAGTGGCTCCTTTTCTTCAATCAATGTAAGTGTTGCTGTGAAATATAACACTAATTGACACTGATTTATTTGTAGGTTTGGAAACCTAGATAGCACATCATTGATTGTCTTGCAAAAATGTATATTTTTGTTTCCACCTAACTTGACAAGATTTCTTTTGGAAAAGGTATGTGCAACCAAACTCCTCAACTGTTGTACATCATGTTAGTAATTTAATAGTTTCCCAAAATTCTGTAAGGAACTGCTCGTCAAAGTTTTAGGATGTCTTGAAAATGTATGTACTGGAAATGTGTGCATTTCTAACCATATACATGCCTGTTATCTTAATCTATTTACATGATGTTAATCACATTTTATACCGCCCTCATTTTATGTAGCGCTTAGTCTTCAACAAGAATAGACGTGATGGAACTTGCATTGGGTATCCCAACTTCAGAGACCTGATTTCTCTCTACCCTTCAACTTCGTATCTTGTTTTTTCAGTAGTCACTATAACTTTTAGTGTGTTTTGCATCTGACTCATAGTGATCTGAAATGATTATCCACAAGCACACTTAAAACAAGCTTGTAAAGCACTGAGAGTGACAATGTGTCAAATTGAGTGGAGAATGATAAAGACTGAAATATTATCAAAATCAATCAGGGTGGGGAAATCAGCATGGTCCAACTGGCAGCCAGCAGGCCGCATCCAGCCCAGCGAGGGATTTTATCCGGCCTGAGACCATTTCCAACATTCCAACTTCCGTTCCTTCCCTCCATGGTGAACATCCTCCCATGGCAGCGGCAGGAGCTGGGGGTTGGCAGGATGCAGTGGAAAGTGGGAATAATGACACCCGTTACTGCAGTATGTCAGGAAGAGGAGGGGGAGAAGGGAGGAGAGTGTGTGTGTGACAGAGAGGTTAGAAAGGGGCAGTATGTGTGTGAGAGAGGCGGTAGAGCGAGTGATTAAGGGAGAGAGAGGGCATGAGGGAGAGGGGGAGAGAGAGAAACAAAAAGAGTGAGTGGGCAGGGAGAGAAAGGAAAATTGAGGGCAGCGTTTCATGGTTCATGGTCAGGACAGACGATCGGAGTGTATAGTTATTGTTTATTGTCTTACTTAATAATCCTTGCATTTGATATAGCGCCTTATCATGTCTTCTAGACGTCTCAAAGCGCTTCACAGAATATACTGTAAAGTGAATTGACTGTATGTTTGTGGGTGAAACACGGCATCCAATTGCGCACAGCAGTGTCCCACAAACAATCATGAATTGAGTGACCAAATTATTTTTTTTGAGGGATTATTATCCCCGAAAAAGCGATCCACCAATCGACTAGCAACCAGGTTCCTACTTACTACTAGGTAAGCGGAGGCGTGTGGAGTAAGGAAACTTGCCCAACATTTCGCCCTGCCAGGAATCAAACCCAGGTCTCTCGCTTATGAGGCAAATGCACTATGCCTAAAACCTGGAAATTGCTTAACTTCAAAATCTTTTTATGCTTTTTTATGGCCACATAGCAATCAAAATTTTATCACAAAGCTTTGTGCAACACTGAAAAAAAACAATGTAGTTGAACATGACCGTGAAAGTAGTTTATTCATCATTATTTCAGTTTCATCTTAAAGCAACTGTTGTGTGTTTACCATTCCAAGTTTCTGGATTCCGTTTCAGCAGTAATAACCTATATTTTCATAGCGCTTTTCATGTTAAAGAAATGTCTCAAAGAATGTGATTGATGATGATAATCTTTATATTTAATATAGCATCTCATCACATCATGAGACGTCTCAAAGCTCTTCACAAGATTGTATTGCATCTTGTAGGCAAACACAATAGACAATTTGTGTACAGCAATGTCCTGAAATTAGAAATTAAATGAACATTATAAAGGCAAATGCACAGTAAATGCATTTACTAATAATGTCATATCAAATGGATTTTTGATCTACATCTCGTTTTACAAGCTATGATTTGAAACAATTGGATTTGGATGATGCTTCTTGTCACAGAGCAATGAATCAGACATCAGCTCAAAAGCCAGGCTTGACTAACTTGAGTTCCGAGTGTTTTGTTGCCAGGTTGGCACAGGCTGCCGGTTTGAGTACTGCATGACAACAAAACACTAAAATTGATGGAAGAAGCCAAAATCTGGCAGGATTAATCCACCACTTTTCATATTGACTGATAATAGACTAACACTAGCTGTGGCCATATAGGTGCCCATAGGCATTCGTTGGACAAAAACAAGTAGTAAGCAGCTACAAAAAGGGAGTGAGGAGATGCTTCGATTTTTTTCTTGTGTTGTAATTAATTACATTTGTAATGCCTGAAAGGATTCCCTGTTCAGATCTGGGGATTGTCGGTTGTGGCCATTAATAACTGTCTCAAATATGAAGAGCTTACAAATAGAAAATTCAAAGGGCAAAGTTGAACTGATGAAGGTATGCGATTTAATTTTTTTCAAAAGTTTTTTAAAAAAAGTTGAATAACATCTTGCATTTATATAACGCCTTTCACAAAGGATAATGTCTCAGGATTACTCCTGATCTTTCAATTTGCTTTAACTTTTAAGGGCTTAAATTATGTTCTATACTGTTTCCCCATTGCGAGTGAGATGTGCCCATGTGGTATCTGTGCATAATTCAATTTTTTGAAAAACCTCTCGTCAGTGCAGTCTTTAGTCATCTTAAAAAATTAGTTTAGCTCTTTCTCTTTCAGAGTTGCCTTTTCAGAGTTAAAATTGTTCAGACTCTTCTGATCATGTTGTAAATTGTCAGTGACAATGCAAGTGGAGAGCAAGTCATCCAAGGGGTCACAGGTAGGCACGTATAGCAGGTCATCCTTTCACCCTTCTGGACTGTGGTACAAGAGGTTACTTTGAGGCAAGAGAGAAAGGTTTCTTCCTTCTAAAGGCACAATTGTGGATATTTGATTTTGGACATGTGATGCAATTGAGCATTTAAATAAAGATGCCTCTGACATAACTCTTTGATGCATTTAAACTGCTTAAAGTCAAAATATAGATCGGAATGAAACCTTTAGAAATATGATATGGGGGAAGCATAATAAGGGCAAACTCAAACATTTCATGAGGCAAGGCTTCGATTGATATCTAGGATTATTGATCTTTATCTTAAAGTATAATCTAGCCAGCTATTCAACTGACTCAACTTCAGATGATCTATAAATGAAAAGCATTTGTTGTTAATTACTTAATTGAGGGCAACTGTAAATCCCTCTGGCACATGCATTTATACATGGTTTACACATGATGTATAATATAATCCAGATGTTTTATCTCTGCATTTCCAAGCTACTGTTCAAATATTTTCCATTCAGGCTATTCAAAATGTATGAGAAATTGTGAAAGATGCAGATCTTGAGGTCAGTGTTAAAATTCTGTTTCAGATATTGAAAGTGACTTCTTACCAGACTTTATCTCTAGCTTTATAAAAACTCTATTACGGAATGCAGCACAGAGTTGTGAGGCAGATACATTTCTCATTTGATTTTTGAGTTAACACTGTAACAGTTCTGCAAGCTTCAGCTTTAGCTTCAGCTTTAGTACCTTTGCTTTTCAGCTGGGGATCTGAGGCATATGATTTCAGCAGGGGATTAAATATTTATTGTAAAGCATAAATAATGCACAAATGTTGTCAACCTTAGTGCAAACCTTTTAAAGGTAAGGCATGCAAAAGAGGAGTTCAGTTACAACAAAGGAACCTGAATCGGGTAGTGTAATTATTTTTATATGATTTAATTTCTAAAATTTGACAATTCCCTAGGTTTTCATTTTCATTCCCTGAATGTCTAGAATGTTTCTAGTAAAGCATTAACCTTAATGATATCATGATTCTGACGTTCAGAGAAAATGATCCTTTATCTTGGTGGGGAAGATGAGAAAGCGATTAAGATTTGTTTTTTACAGAACAGCTCCTTTTTAACCACTTTTCATTATTAGCATTTCATTCTGTGTGCTGTTTCCCTAATTCTGTATCTTGTTGGAATCTAGATGCATATTTAAACATTGATAACCACCTCAGCAAGACTTCAGATGTAAATTTGTCATACTCTATAAACATACCAATGAAGCCTGTGTATATTGATTTATCATTAACTTTATGCCAGAGGTGGTGTTTAACAGGACACAAATGGTTGCGTTATTAGTTTGTTTCCTGCTGAAATTATCCTACTCAGTCTGTGAAAGTAAATTTATTTAGTTGCATACTTGCATGCCATTTTAATGTACAGCAGCAGTATGCCTGTCTTATCTGGCTTTTTTAATTGACATTGCTGTGTACCTGTTAAAAATAAACTGTGTTCTACATTTGTGTATGTTTTGCACTTCATAACTTAATAATATAATAATCCTCGCATCTGATATAGTGCCTTATCACATCATTGAGATGTCTCAAAGTGCTTCACTTATATGCTGTGAAGTGGATTCACTGTATTTTTTGGGTGAAGCATGATCCTAATCTGTTTTGATATGGCTTGAGGAGATATTCTGCCCAAATCAAGTTTGTTAGTGTAATCATTCTATTGCTAACCATGTGTAAAATTAACCTTCCAATCTAATTCTCCAGGGGCAGGGAAGGGGACTACAACTAAATATGCCTCTGTTCGCCCAGTGCTTTGGATGACAATGAGCGTGAGGAGCTGTATTTTTGTTCCACTTCCAACCCTTCCCCTCCCCAAATCCCGATGTTTCTCAGATGATCCTAATATAGATTTAAAATGGAAGAGGCCTTTCAAAAATGTCTCAATATGCCTCTCTCTGGGCCATCACAAATCCACGTGTTTTGAGGGTTTGCAACATGTAGAACAAAATTGATGCATTCTATATGGAGACATTTTATGCTTTTACAATTAAAACGTTTTCTATAAAAATATTCTTGGAAAAATGGAAGAAAAAAGCTAACAGCAGATTTCTTAATTTGTCTAAGAATTGAATTGGAATTAAGTGGA